GCACCACCAAATGGTACATCAACAACAGCACATTTAAATGTCATCAATGCAGATAATGCTTTTACTTCATCCAATGAAACATCCGTACTATAACGTATACCACCTTTTGTTGGTAAACGATGATGACTATGTTGTGCACGCCAACCTTTTATCATTGTATATTCACCATTATCACGTTTTAATGGAAATGATACTTCCAATACCGAATGACATGGACCAATAATACTTAAATAACCACGAATTTTTTTTCTTTTCTCTTCAATACTCATACGACCTTTTAATTCATCAACTAATTTATCTTCAACAATTTGCCAACCACGATGATAAAAATATTCAACCATATGAAAAAATGATGGATTTTCAGCATCGATTACATATTTAACACGTTCAGGTATTTGATGTGGTTGATTTATATCATCATTTTTCATTGGATTTTCATCCGATTTTTGTTGACATTTTAAAATATTTGCCGAATGATTTGTCCATATTGAATTTGATGATAATATTGATGATGATGATGGTGATATGATGGACGAACGATAACCACGTAATACGTTTCTTAACATATTTTCCTATTTACTTTAATGCTGACCAAAATTCTATACGAAGAAAAAACAAAAGAAAAAAGTTAAAATTTCAATTGGAAACAATTCAGAATGATATTGACATTGCTAGTTTTTCACCTCTGCCAAGAAGAAAAAAAACGATTTTATCATTCAATTTAAAGACAAGATTTTTTTTTGGTTGATAAAAAATCAATTATCAATCAACTTACAGTAGGAGAAGAAAAATCGAATGTTTAAAAAATGATTCGATTTGATTTGATGATGATTAGATTTTTTGCTAGTTGAATGATGATAATGATCAATATTAGATTCGGGCCAATTTTGATTGATAAATTATCGTTTGCCTTTTTGTTGATAATTAATTATTGATGATTGGTCTGATTAGGAAACAAGAGAAGAAGGAGAAAAAATCAATTAGAAAATAAAATTCCTGAAACTGAAACTGAAACAGAACAAAAAAGATCAAGGTTGTATTCGATCAACAACAAACAACAAAACAGTAAACATTAAAAAAATATTAACCTAAAAGAAGTGGTGGTGGTGGTGATGGAAAAATCCCATTAGAAAAACAGAAAATAATGTCGTAATTCGCAAAAAAGAATTTGTCAAACAAAATTTTTTGTTTTGTTTGGGAAGTAGCATTAAACACTGCAGTGTTATTTTGTGTAACTATATATATTATGTTGGATGGATATTTTAAAACAACAGGAAAGAAAAAAAAACTGAATGAAGATTGGCAGGCGTACACAGATTCTTTTTGCAGAAACTGAAATTTTTAGAGTTTTCCCAAAATAAACATGCCTTTTTCTTTTCTCACAATTAATAAAAAATGATCACCGAGTTGGAATCCCTGTTGTCGATAAGTTTTCTCTTTTTTTCTCAATGTTTTTTTTTCAATGATAAAATGACAAGAAAACAAAAAAATTCAATCAATTAAAGATAGATGTCATTCGATTTTGAAAACACACACATATTTTTCATTGGAAATTGATTAATTTATATGAAAGTATTTTCCGAAAAAAAAACAAAAACAAAAACAACAATCTTTCGTTCTTCGTTATCAACAAGATCATATCATCAAATGATGGGGATGAACAAAAAACATATGATTGTTACTGAAAGCTTGAATGACACGATTAAAATGAAATGAAGGCCGCAGCAAAAAAAATATTCATAAAAAAAAAGATGAGATGAACTCGTTGCACCATCTATCGTGAATGTTCAGCAATTAATTATCGTCACATGTGTTATCGCCGATTATTGGTTCTTCGGTGGTTTTTTCTTCTGAAAAAAATTAACTAATTTTTCAAAAAAAAAAAAAATGTATCGAATACGAAATTTATCAAAATCATTTTCTCTTTCACGATTCAATAATAATCAAAAATATCATTTTCATTATAAAAAACTTTCAGCTTTACAATCAACAAACAGACAAACAATCTTTT